GGAAGCAGATTTTGTCAGATGCTTTTTCTGTATCTATTGAGATAATCAAAAAGTTTACCTTTTAAAATTTGCTAATATGGTGAATTACATTATTGATTTTCAAATGTTAAACCATTCTTGCATTTCTAGGATAAACCCTGGTGGGTCAGAATTACCTTTTTATATGGCATTGGACTCAATCTGTTAAAATTTCCTAAAGCAGGTTTACATCTGTGTTCATAAGGGATATTGGCCTATTTTTTCTGGTAATATCTTTGTTCAGTTTTGGTATCAAGGTAATGGTAGCCTCATATAATATGTTAGGAAGTATTTCCTACTCTTCAATTTTCTGAAAGAGTCTGTGTAGGATTGGTATTACTTCTTCTTTAATTATTTGATAGAATTCATCAATTTAGCTATGCAGACCTGAAGTTTTCTTGGGGGAAGATTTTTTGTTTAACTATCAGGTCAATTTCTTTAGCAGATATAGAATTACTCATGTAATCTGTCTCTCCTTGAGTGAACTTTGGTATTTAGTGTCTTTCATGGAACCTGTTCATCTCATCTAAATTGTCAAATTTGTTGGTATAAAGTAATTCATAATATTCTCTTATTAGCCTTCTACTGTCTGTAGTATCTGTAGTGATATCACCTCTCACATTGCTGATATTGTAATTTGTGTCTTCTCTCTTTATTGATCTTCTCAAGGAACCAGCTTTTAGTTTTGTTGATTTTTCTCCATTGCTTTTATGTTTTCTATTTCGTTTTTTCTTCTCTGATCTTTATTATTTTTTTCTCCTTACTTTGGGTTTAATTTGTATTTATTTTTCTAGCTTCTTAAGGTAAAATCCGAGGTCACTGATTTCAGACCTTTCTTCTTTCTGAGTATGTATGATTAGTGCTATAAATTTTTTCCTTAGTACTGCTGACATGTTGTGCTTTTTTCTCATTTAGTTTAATATACTTTTTCATTTCTCCTTTCCTTTTTTTCTTTGACCTATGGGTTATTTAGGAGTGTGTTACTCTCTTTCCAAATACTTGGACATTTTCCAGAGGTCCCTCTGTTATTGGTTCCTAATGTAATTCCACTGTGGTCAGAGTGCATACTTTGTACAAATTGAATCCTTTAAATTTATTAAGACTCATTTTATGACCCAGAATATGGAGATTCTTGGTCAATATTCCATGTGTATTTGAAAAGTATATTTAGCTGTTCTTGGGTGGAGTGTTCTATAACTGCCAATTAAGTCAAGATGGTTGATAGAGTTCAAATCATCTGTATCCTTACTGATTGCTATCTACTTGTTTTATAAATTATTGGGAGAGAAAGTTGTTGAAATCTTTGGATATCATGGTGACTGCTATTTTTCCTTGCAGTTCAATCAGTTTTTGCTTTGTGTATTTCGAAGCTCTGTTATTAGACACATAAATGTTTAGCATTGTTATAGCATATTGATGGACTGGCCTTTTATCAATTTAAAATGACTTTTTAATTCCCATTAATATTCTTCCTTCTGTAATCCATTTTGCCTGATATTAATATGCAATATTCTCTTAACTAATGTTAATGTGTTTTATCTTTTTCCAGCCTTTTACTTTTAACTGTTTGTGTCTTTATGTGTAAAGTATATTTCCTGTAGGCAGAATACAGTTGGACTTCCTCAATGTAGCTAGTCTACAAAGCTGTACCTGTGTTTCCCCTCCCTGTGCCACGAACCAAAAACTCTTTAGGCGATAAGACGGGGCAAACTTGGAGCTCATTTTGTTTTTCTCCAATCTCTCAGGAATAGAGCTTGAACTAGAGTAAGATGAGTGAAGCCCCTATAATAAAACATTTAAGACAGAAATCACTATTGATGCACAACTTGGAGAGTGAATGCCTTCTCAGATTTTGTACTGTAAGCAGCTGACTCTTAGGAAGGCACTAACTCTCAGGGTTGTGTAAGTGCAGGGTTAGCTCATGAGTAAATATCTTTTTAAATTCTGTACTGTAGGGGCTGAATTCACTCAGCTCACTATAGGCCTGCTCCTGTTAAGGACCACCATCCTTCATTCCTGATGTCTAGTGTCTTGAAAACCATTTTAAAAATTATATTCTGTCTGGATTTTTGGTTTTTCAACTGGGAGGGTAAACCCAGGCTCTGATATTACATCTTTTCTGGAAACAGAAGTCTAGACTTACTCATTATAAGATAAAAATTTCACATGTAGAGCTACCTGCCTGAAATAAAAATGCTTGCAGGCCCTCCTCTGAAGACTTCAGCAAAAGATTTGTCTTCCTTCATTCAGTGATCAGTGAGCACCTTCTATATACTATATTCTAGGCTAGAAACTGTGGTTAAAATCAAATAAGACATGGTGCCTGCCTACCGGTTGCTCATAGCTGACTTCTCTAGAACAACTAGACTGGCTCTTTCATGTCATGCATCACCTGTTACCAGGTGGGCAGAGATAGAGGGAAAGTGGTCTAGGGAAGGTAGAAAGCCAGCAAGCCTCAGATCTGGGGCTAATAAATCCTCTCTACTATTTCTCAGGCCCAGAGTGACTTGAGGGCTCACTTAAGGTCACACAGCTATTCAGAAGTAGTTGATTGTTAGGCCTCAGTTCAAAACATCTTCCCCCAATGTCAGTCACCACTATTGAAGTCCCACCGTTAGAGACTCTCAGAGACTCATTCATTAAGGACAGGGACCATGTCCTATTCACTATTTCGCCTAACACTGTTTCTCAGTGTTAGCTCAGGGCTTGCTGCATGGCAATCAGTAGATGGAAATAAATGAATGGATGAATGAATTAAAGACATTCCCGTTACAATGATGACTATGCCTCTGGGAGATGATTTAGATCAGTTGGGGATGAGTACACTGTTAAGAGAAAGCATACAACTGGGTCCCAGGAAGGTAATGTGTTAGAGCAGAAGAGGTTTCTAACTGTGCTAGACCTTGATCCAAATTTACCTTTCCAAAATTCAGTTGCCTCATCTGTATGATGGGAATCCCAGTCATACTTACCATATAGCAGGATGTCAGGTTCAATAGGATGAAGTATGCTAGGGGCCTGGCAAGAGAAAGCAGTCAAGGAATGACAGATATTATTAACCTTGTCTCCTGGGAGCATCAGGTGGGAGTAAGGTGGGGCCTATTGGGTGCAGAGACCTTGCAGACGGAGTCCTGGCAAGGTACCAGGAAGACAGCAGCCTGTTCTGCTCATGTGGTATATTTACAGAAGCTCATGTCACCACCATCTTTATGCAAAAGCCCTTCCAAAGGCAGCACTCCATGTAGGTGGGCTGAACAATGCACATAAAAACCATGGAGATGGCCCTGCCCCTTCAGGACGTGCATCCAAGGCAACTCCCTGTGGGGAAGATAGAATAAAAATGTTAAATCTGCTTAGGATTAGGTGACGGTCAGTTCACACGCATAGGGATGACAAGAAAGAGCATTTCCTGAGGATGGGCTGGTCAGATGGGTCAGGGTGGGAGTTACATGTCCAGCCACGCAGAGCAAAAGGTGTGGTCTGGTCTGCTCTGGCAAGGCCCTATTACATAAAGTTGATCCCTGAGGCCAGGAGCTCTTCCAGCTCTGGCCCACAGCTCTTGCCAAATCTGGTAAGTGGAAGATGTGCACTAAAATCAACAGATTTTAGATTGCTTTGGACATGGTTTAGCTGAGTCAGAGGCCTAGGGCCTGGTAATCAGAGAAACTTGCCTGGTGATTCACTTATTTCCCTCCTTTCTTACTCACATGGACACAGGAAATATGATTCAGGGCGTCACCTTCTCCAGCTCCCCACAAAATGCATTGCAGTGTACATCAATATTTTTAATTCTAAATGTGATCACGTATTTAAAGTTTGGACCTATTCTACTTCCAAAAAGTCTTCAGATGGAAAAAAATCCGAGGATGTTATTATTTCCTTTTATCCCATGGACTCAGTTTTTTATTAACATTTATAATTAATAACATTTTGTGATGTGGGACTTCACAGACTTACAGATGATCAGAATTAGGAGGGAACTTAGAGACAAACAGGTCCAGTCTTCTTATATAGATAAGGGAGCTGAGGCCCAGACAGATACTGACTTGTTCAAGGTCACATAAGCAGCAGTGGAGTCTGGACTAGAAGCCAGGTTTCTGTATGCTCTCTTCCACATCACATTGTAAGAAACCCTCTGAAAACCCTCCTTCAGAGTCTTTTAGAGCCTGATTGAGGTGTATGATTTGTGATTTGGTTTGGGCTGAAAACAGCCTTGGACCTCACCAAACCAGGCCTGGCAAATCCTGTACAACATGGATTGGGGCACGTTTTCTCCTACGTAAACTGCGGAGCTCACAGCTGTGGCAGAGGTCTATGACATTGGGCAAGAGCTCACCAAGAACTTGACTGTGAATGATGTGGGAGCAAGTGCACCTGGCTGAGGGGAGCTTTCCATCCTCGGCAATGCTAAGGAGTCGGGACAGGGTGGGATTAAGAATCATACAGGTTACGCAAGCTTGGATGTAAATCTCAGCTTTTGCAGTGATTTGCTGCATGATATTGAACAAGTCACTCAACCCTCTCTGAGCCTCAGTTTTCTCATTGCTAAAATGAAGATGATAATAGCTATCTCAGAGAGATGTGAGAATTATGTGAACAAAATGTATATAGAGGCCATGGCATGGTGTCTAGGTAAACTCTCTGTAGATGGCAGCTGGTCTACCGGGGTCCGTTTTGTTGTTGTTTTGTTGTTTGAATTGGGAGAAATTGTTTTCAGGCTTCCCCTATTCCATATCCTTTCAATCTGGAGATGTCTGTCTTCTCTCCACACTCTTCCCTTCTCCCTTTGATGGGCTTGCTGATCTATTGGTGATGGCGTATTTTCCCCTTGTCCTGGGCTTTTGCTAATTAAGAGGTCGTTGCTAAGAGATGCCTGGACACACTGGTGAGCGGCTCTGTGCTTCCCTCTCATCCCCTCTCGTTCTTTTCAGCCTCACTCCAACCCACCACACCCACTTCTCTCTCCCATCTTCCAAAATCAGGTTCTGAAAAAGACTTCAAGAAACTGACTAATCTGGATGGCCACCCCTGACAGAAGGGTAGTCTCCAGACCCCAGAGACCTGGTCAGGAGTCTGGCCAGAAGCCGAAGGGAAGTGGAGCCCGCCTGCATCCCCTGGACAGCCTGGAGCAGAGGGAGGCTCAGGAGCTGAGGGAGACTCAGGAGCAGGCACCAGGCCAGCTAGTCATGCTGAGGAAGGCACAGGAATTCTTTCAGACCTGTGATGCTGAAGGCAAAGGCTTCATCGCCAGGAGGGACATGCAGGTAAGCGGGGTTCCAGGTAGGCCTGCCCACTGAGAATGCCAAATGTCTTCCTGTCTCGGGTTAGGGCTTGTCCCATGGGAGGTGACATGCTTAACAGAAAAGATGCCATCAGTTCTGTCTTGGAAGGAGTGTCTGACCAAACTCTGCTAGCAGCCAGACCTCCTGGATTCATTCTTTTTCTGGCTTTCACTTGCTATCAGGCTCCAGGGTTGTTTCCTTCTCTGCCTTAGCAACTCTCCGAGATTGTGGGGAATGATAATAGTAACCTAAGGGACTTAAGTAAGACACAGGGAAGAACCTCCTGAAACTGAGAGTAGAAAGGCATCAACTTGAGTTATAACAAAGTCATTCCTGCTGTGTGTGCCTTGGGAACAGGTACAGTGTCAGGTGTCACAATGTGGGAGGAAGGCATTTCTGTCACCTTCAAACCGAACATTGCACTAGGTCATGGTTCTCCAGAGAGTGGTGAGCCAAGCATCAGCGCACACCATTGCGTAGTGCAGGGCCCGGCAGCCTTTTGATAAAGGTCCAGAAAATAAAGGTGTCCGGCTTTGTGGACCTTACAGTCTCTATCACAACTACTCATCTCTGCCATTGCAGCACAAAAGCATCCATAGGCAATATGTGAAAAAATGAGGGTGCCGTGTTCCAATAAAACTTTATTTATGGACAAGGAAGTTTGAATTTTATATAATTTCCATGTGTTACCAAATATTGTTCTTCTTTTGATATTTCTTTTCAACTGTTTACAAATATAAAAATCAGTCTTAGCTCACTAGCTGTACCAAAGTAGGGGATTGCTGGGTTAGCCCAGGGGCAGAGTTTGCCCACTCCTGGTCCGGTGCCTTTCTTTCTTTACTTTCAAAAACTTCTCAGTGGCTAACTGAAGTCCTTTATGCTGTCGTCAGGATTTCACTTGAACATGGGTGAATGAAACACAGACTCCACTAGAGTACTTTGAAAGCAGCCCTTTTCCCCTCAGTCTTTGTGTCACTCACTCCATCAGAGCAGTTTTGGAAAGGATACATCCCCGTGCTGTGGGAGGCAGTGCAACGTCTGGGTTCTCTTTCTTTAAGTCTAGTTTTTCAGAATGTACCAAAGTTGGACAATGAAATGTAGACCCTCATTCGGCTCATGCACGTGAGCTGTGACGCGTGGAGGCTGAGAAAGGAGCCTTGTGACCCAAGGTGAAGTGTGGCAGTTCTTTCTCTCCCTGGCCCCAAATGATGGTGCTTTTATGCTTCTCCAAGAGCTATTCCACTGTGCAACCACTGCACGAATTGAGGGAAAAGACCTAGGGAACAGCACCAGCTCAGCCCACCCTTCTGCAGTGATGACTCCTCCAATAAGTTTCTGTCACCAAAACCCATTCGCCAAAGGCTCACTCCACATGGAAGGCCAGATTCAGTGTGCTTTGAGGAAACCTTTGACAACCCCCTGTCTGTGAACTTCATAATTGGCATTCACAGGTCTGCAGTAGCGGTAGCTGGTGGTAATAGTTTTAAAATCAGGCTTAACTTTTGATTATTCCCTCTAGAAAGGAAAAAAAAGGTAATTCACATTTATAGTGGGTCAACTCTGGGCCACGTGTACTGTGCAACTCAGCTCTCTTGCTGTGTATAACCTAATTAACTCTCATTGAGCCCTACTCTTTAATGAAGAGAGGAGGAGGCATGGGGAATTTAAACTAGGTATAAACTGTTAAAGAAGTCACTCGTATGTGACTTGAAATATAGTCAGAAACATAAAGTCCCAGAGATACTGACTCAGCCTTCCTCCCCAGTCCTACTCCTGATCCAGGCAGGAGGACACGGGAACCAACAAGCCACCAAGCAGATAAGTTGGTATCCAAGGCATTTATTTCTGCCATCTACTTAATTTTCTGAAGTTTTTTCTGAACCTGTGGACAGTGAAGCATTTGAAATGTTTAGTTCCTTAGGCTAGCAAGGGCTGTCAAGAGAGAACAGAGTATGTCACATCATTTAACCACCATCTCTGACTGCTTCCACTGGCCACCTCTGAAGGAAGATGGGCTCAGGGACATGTGTGAAGAAGAATAAAAATGGCTCCTCACGGTCAACTCTGGCCCTCTGCAGTAAGTCCCCATGTCCCTGGGCCCTCCTGGAGCCGGCCCTCCAGGCATCTGTATTGTTGGCTTGTCACTTCCACGTGGGGCTGTGGTGTGCATATGGTCACCCCCTTTGGTTGGTGTCCAGCTTCCTGGGCCTGGCCACCACCACCTTTTCTCCCTTAGGCTCCCAGCAGAGCCTTATGGGAACTGGAAGGGGAAGAGCTCACATTTTTCTTTCTTCTTTCTTTCTTTCTTTCTTTCTTTCTTTCTTTCTTTCTTTCTTTCTTTTTTTTTTGAGATGGAGTCTTGCTCTATCACCCAGGCTGGAGTGCAGTGGTGCAGTCTCGGCTCACTGCAACCTCTTCCTCCCAGGTTCAAGTGATTCCCTTGCCTCAGCCTCCTGAGTAGCTGGGACTACAGGCTCATGCCACCATGCCTCGCTAATTTTTTGTATTTAGTAGAGATGGGGTTTCACCATGTTGGCCAGGTTGGTCTCGATCTTCTGACTTCCTGATTCACCTGCTTTGGTCTCCCAAAGTGCTGGGATCACAGGGATGAGCCTGGCCTCACATTTTTCATATACACACAAATTCAGAAACGAGGAAAGGTCCTTGACAGCAGTGAGTGGTCTTCAAGGAAGGAGACGCTGCATGCCAAGTGGAAGGGAGAACACAGGAGGCCGAGGACCTAGTGGAGAAGTCAAGGGGGAAGAAAGTCATGGACAGCTTGCATTTTTTTTGAAAATGGAATGGAGTGCTGGCCAACATGGCCAATGGATGCAGCCAGGGGGAACAGCTGCCACTGAAGGACCAAAATTACTGTTGCACTCCTAACAGGTCTTCAAAGGGAAGACACTGAGGGTGGATGGAAGAAAGACACAGAATCTGGGCTGAAAGGGGAGGAAGCTGGGATCCTGCATGGGGCTACCATGCATGGGACTCATTCCCAGCCCGCAACAACTCCAGGGGAATGGCTGAGTTGAGCTGGCAAGGAGAAACCCACTCTATCCATGGGCCCCTAGAACCCCAGCAGGAGGAGACCCCTCAACCACCATGGACACTCGAAGTGGCAGGGAAAAGTGCTTAGAGAAGTAGAGGCACCATGTTAGCTGATGCAGAGCCCAGAGGGTTTGATGTGGGAACATCTGTAGGAGAGCGTGGCCAGATGCAGGGAACCCCAATAAGATACTTCACAAGAAGATCATCCCCAAGACACATAATAATCAGATTCTCCAAGATTGAAATGAAAGAAAACTGTTAAAGGCAGCTGTAGAGAAAGGTCAGGTCACCTATAAAGGGAAGCCCATCAGACTAGCAGCAGACTTCTCAGTAGAAACTCTACAAGCCAGAAGATATTGGGGGCCAATATTCATCATACATAAAGAAAAGAAATTTCAGCCCAGAATTTCATATCCAGCCAAACTAAGCTTCATAAATGAAACAGAAATAAGATCCTCTTCAGACAAGCAAATGCTAAGAGAATTTGTTAACTGACCTGCTTTACAAGAAACCCATTTCCCTAGGCTCGACTTGCTCCCATAGGAGACTTTAGTCCTAGGTGAACTGTCAGACCTGAACTCTGCAGGGCAGTCTTGTCCATAAGGCAGGGCTGGTCTGACCTGAGCACCCCTTGGTCTGCCGGCCTCTCCCAGGGACCCAGCCTGGATATGCTTGCTTGTGGAGCAGCAGCAGGTGCTCTGGGGGCTTGCCTCATGGCTCCTGTGCTGGTGGACTTTTGGCTGACTGTCAGAGAACTCCAGTAGGGTGGCCCGTAAGACCATTCACCAGCCAGCCTGCTCTGTCCCCACACTGCGGCTTCCCCTGGGCCCACAGCAACACCCCACATCACTTTGCCAGTGCACATGTGTGCAGGTGGGTTTTGCCTTCCTTGCCCTGCCAGCACTCACATGTACATGCACCCTGCTCTGCCTCTGTTGTGGTGGGAGTGCACTCTGCGTTTCTTCTCTGCCAGACCACCATTGCACTTGGAGCCTTTGGGGGCACAGAGCCAGCCAGCCACACCCTTGCCAGTGCCCCACTCTGATGCCAACACTGCCATGGAATTGAAACTAGGTACAGAGAACAGCAAACCCTTCCCCTGCCCTGAGCGATCACCCCTGCCTGTGGCAGTGGGAAGCGTGCACACAGACCTGCACTAACCAGTGCCCCACCCTCACGTAACACCACCACCAGCACAACTATGCACACAGGCACTCACTGTGCTGCCTTCATCCCTGTCATGAACACTCACACAGAGGCAGACACTCTGGTACCTACTAACACCCTGTGGCAGCCAGTGAGTATGCACCCTACCATGCTGCTGCTGCTGCTGCGGCTGGCACATACAGAGAAGGACAGATCCAGCTGCCACTGCTCTACAAAAAGCTTTGGCTGCCTGACACCACCCATTGGAACACAGTGAGCAATGGCCCAGAAGCACCCTCACCCCCACCCCCACCCCCACAGCACAGTATATTCCTAACCTTGAGGAGCCAGAGAAAAAAACAGGGCCTGATACAAGTCCCCCAGAGTTAGAGCACACAGTCCAGGAGTTGGGAGCTGATCATTGGCCCCCTAAAATCTTCCAGAAATGAAGTTAGTCAGCTGAACCCACCCTACACCACAATCAAACCTTCCAGGTCATTGAAAAAAAAATCCAAAGGTCAACTACTTCAAAAGCTGAAGAAATATCAGCCCACAAAGATGAGAAAGAATCAGTGCAAGAACTCTGACAACTCAAAAAGCCGGAGGGTCTGCAACTGCACTACCTCCCCAGAGAGGGTTCTGAACTGGGCTGAGATGGCTGACCTGACAAAAAGGTATGAAGAGGAATGAGGATCTGAGACACAGGCATACATTGAAACCCAATTCAAGGAAGCTAAAAATCACAATAAAATGATATAGCAGCTGACAGACAAAATAGCCAGTAT